GATTGAGGAACTAATTTGATCTGGTCTATCATCCAATACAAAATTTAAGACACAATAACTTTCTGCTTCATGATCAGTGGAAAATCTACCCTTTCTGTAAAAATTCTCACGGTTCATGCAATTACAGTAAATTGTGCATGATCATGATGACACTTGTATGTTCTATATACATTTAGCAAATACAGTACTTAATATTGGTTCAAATTAATTAACGAAGAATATCTGGAACACATTCAAAATTATATATAAATTCAATTCAATAAACAGGAGAGCTGGTGATGATCAGCTTGTAAGAGTTACTTGACATTATTTATGTATCACAATATATACACATTGTTCTACAAAATACGAGTGCTGAATTATTGCTGAACATTTTACTGAATTTTTCTGAACACTTTGCTGAACAAGTGCTGAAAACCTACATAGGGGCAATTGCTGAAATATACCTGAATTTGGCCCAAATCCAAGCAATTTTCAGCAAAATTCAGCAAATGTATTTCAGCGAAGTTCAGGAACTATACCAGCAAACTACAGGAATGTTTCAGCAAATTTCAGGAATGTTTCAGCAAATTTCAGGAATGTTTCAGCAAAGTTCAGGAACTATACCAGCAAATTTCAGGAATGTTTCAGCAAAGTTCAGGAACTATACCAGCAAATTTCAGGAATGTTTCAGCAAATTTCAGGAACAATTCAGAAATGTTTCAGCAAAGCCAATTAACTGCCATCATGCATAAGCAAACCTTACCAAATCACTTAATTTAAAGGCTACAGGCTACTAGGCTAGTATACGCTAATTATATCATCATGACTTAAAGTACATAAAACTTAAGAAGGCAAGAATTACACAAACCTATGATCACTAGTTACGTACATATGGTCAGGGAATGAAATATATCTATATTTGTGTGATCATGTCTTGTACATGTAGTTAGAAAGTGACAGTATTATTGTTCCATTATATTATTGTACACAAATTTCACATTAAATACTTTGAGATTGTTATATTTTATGAGATTGTGTCATCCTATATGTATGCTGTTTTAAATCATAATGTGAGATGTTGAAGTGTGTTATTACAAAGATTTGTATGCTGAAAGCTTACATAGTCCGATATGAACACCGAAATCTGTACTCTTATTGTTACGGGAATTTGGGTGTAAATTAACTCGTTGTATTTCATCAAATTGTAACATGATACAAGTATTACATCCAAATAAAATCGTGGTATTATGTTGTGAGTCTATAAATTAACGATATAAGTGATTAAATGCGAGGTGAAGACTGCATATTGAACCAATCAATGTGTATGAGCAGACGACAAGTCCACCGCTATGTGTAATCTGTGTTTTTACGGGAAACACACGTTTATACTCAAAACTATTGTTTAGCGTGTTGATATAACATCATACCTGTCATGTGTATTCCATTTAATCATACTGTCTGAACTTTTATAGTCCAGTATGATTGGCTAGCACTTTCTATAGGCTTGATCATTGAAACTGATGTTATACTTATTGACCATAAACTTTCTTCTAACTACACTTGTTTCAGTTAATTAATGATCATTAAAAAAAAGAAAATTAATTTAATGATCATAACAATTAATTTCAAGAGCATTAAATTATCATTTCTATTATTCTCGATAACAATAATGGCTTAAAAATTTAACAGAACAGCGAGTTCAGCATTTTTTTAGCATTATCCTGAACAGTTCAGCAGTTTTTCAGCATAGTGCTCAAATAGTTCAGCATTTTTCAGCATTAACATGAACAGTTCAGCAGTTTTCAGCATTATCCTGAACAGTTCAGCAGCTTTCAGCATTTTTCAGTTAAGTTCAGCAAAATTCAGCATCTGTAGAAACTGTGTAAGCAATGGTTCAGCATCCGATTTTAGTTTCAGCAAATGTTCAGCAACTGTACAGCAAATCCTCAGAGAAATTCTGTAAAAATTAGCAATTTTTTTTCATGAGTCGTCAAAAATATTGTTAACACTCTAAGGAAATTAAAGTCACTCTATCTACATGTACTTTACTCGTGTTAACATTATTGCCATGTGCACTTGTAAAAGTTCATATTTTCTCGTATTTACGAAGTACATTTATTGTGATGTGCCAAATGTACACTCGTGTTGTGAATTATGATGAATCGTTCCATATATACCATGATATACCCTAATTAATTCTGTAAATATTCATGGCCATGAACATGGTGAACACTATATTAAACATTTCTATGATGATATATATATAGATATCATGGCCTTTGTTGAAAAATTCATGGCCATGCTGTGGAATTACTTTTTCATGGCCATGCATTCTTCATGTCTTTACTTGGACGCCATGATATTTTTCTTCGTGGCCTTGAACTATCTGGTATCTCGGACACTTTTAGAGAAACTGATTTTAATGGCAGTGGTTTTCCAAATTTCAATGCCATGAAATACACCATCGAAATTCATGGCCATGATTTCATTTTTTCAGGGCCATAATATGACCATGATTATTTTTTGCGACGAGAAATCATGGCCATGGTTCTTGACACTCGTATCAGACAACTATATTCATTGAAGTTTAAGGGGATGTATGTGTAATTCATGGGGTATTCAAGCCATGAAAAATATATAAATAATAATAGTAATAATATACAACATTTATATAGCACCCGATATAATTTGTAAAATTACTCAATTTAAGGCGCTTTACAACATATGGATAATAGTAATGGTTATAATTGTGAAAACAAACAACAAAGGCTTGCAATCACTTTCATACATTTAACAAGCAATGTGCACATACTTGAACAAATAAAAGGGTGGTATTTACAAAGATCTTTGCAAAGATTCTAAAATGCAGACGTGAAGAGGTGAGTTTTTATGTCCCTCTTGAACTTGGCCAGGGTATTTGACTTCCTAATAGCAGATGGTAAGCTATTCCACAACGTAGCCGAAACCCTCCCAAAGCATCTGTTTCCGTAGGTCACAGTACGAGATTTTGGGACACACAACAAAGATTCTGACTCCGACCGCAGTGATCTTGACGGCTGATACAGGGTAACAAGTTCCTGTAGGTACTGAGGAGCTGTTCCATTCAGTGCCTTGTATGTGTATACCAGAATTTTGTACTGCGACCTGTATCGTACAGGTAACCATGCAGTGCAACAAATAAAGTGTAGGTGTGATGTGCTCTCTCTTTCGAGTAAGAGTAACTAGCCGTAAGTGTTCTGAACCCTCTGCAGACGACTAGTTAGTTTGTCAGATATACCACAGAGCAGGGCGTTACCATAATCCAACCGAGAGGTAACAAGTGAATGCACCAAAATCTTGCATGCATCTGCAGTTAGAAACTGCCGAATACAGCCGATGTTCCTGATCTGGTAGTAACAGGATTTGGCAATAGCGTTCACTTGTTTCTCCATGTTCAGAGAACTGTCAAAGTATACCCCTAGGTTTTTAACAGCTGGAACAGTCTCAATAGTTCTGGCACCAACCTTGAGCTGGAGAGCCATTGTTTGCTGACACTTTGGGGAAAAGACGATTAGTTCCGTCTTTTCCTGATTAAGTTTAAGCATGTTGGCGTTCATCCAGATACTGATATCTGTCAGACAAGCTTCCAGACTTTCTGAGACTGTATTCCAACTGTCCTGTGGTTTTATGACCATGTAAATTTGTGTGTCATCGGCATAGCAATGATAGCGAAGGCTATGGCGACGACAAATCTCTCCAATCGGTTTGGAGTACATACAATATTTTCGTGGGCCTAACACCGACCCTTGAGGAACCCCGAAATCTAGCACTTTGTCATGTGAGGTGGCAGATCCGATGGCAACACACTGTCGTCGTTCACTCAGGTATGACTGTATCCAGCATAGTGCGGTATCAGTCACTCCATAAGAGTATTCTAGACGTTTATAAAGGAGGCCATGGTCGATGACGTCAAATGCAGCTGACAAGTCCAGCATGACAAGCACCGCTCTGCACTTGTGGCATTTAGGCAAGCCCATGAAAAAAACTTCGACGAAATGTCATGGCCTTATTGATGGCATCCAGGCTTTTTAATGGGGTTTTCAGAGGAATTTCATGGGATTTTTATGGAATATGCTTCCAGTAGTGAATAGGCTGTTGTCTATTATAAGGTTGAAGTATTTGTATTGAGTGTAAGCAATGTGTTGAACCATATTTTCATAGTTCAGGGTCCAAAAACACCTTTATTGGACTTTGTTAATTTCTTAACAATCACTTCACATAGATGTTTCTACACATTTAACAGTCCTTGAAATATCCTGGTGGTAAGTGAGGTGGCAAATAAAATGACAGGCACTATATCAACATTTTACTATACATGTTTCTATTGATAGTTGCAGTATTATAATAACATACATAGGCGAGCTATGCTGTTCTCCGACAGCTCTTGTTTTATTAATGAAGGGATTTTCATCAAACTTCTTCTAGAGCATCTTTGGGAAAAGCCCCCCCCCCCCTCCTGCATTGGAACATAATATAAGATAGAAACTCATTTTCTTGGTGTCTTACCCACCAAAACAGATTTATATGTAGTTCTTCTTGCAACTTTGTTCCTGTACTCCTTTGATAAACCTGTATGGTACCCAGCTGGTTTTAAATTGAAAATAAAATACCAGGTGGGCTATTAAGGCCCCTGGGCCTCTTGTTTTATAATAGTCTGATAGCAGTTATCTCGGTGTTTTGAATGAGCCTAGAAGCTGAGGTGTATATGTGACTGTGATCACACTTCCTCTTTCTTTAGCCAGAAAATAGCGGAGAAATGGGATCTTAAAAGAGAGAGATAAAATTAATGGTTCAGGAAGCCCATTCCAAAAAATCCAAAAGCAATTGGATCAAAAATTGAAACCAGAATAGAGAAAATGACATTTCCATTGTGATAACAATTTATGTGTATGCATGGGGTTTACTTGTCACCCCTAGGTGACAGCTCTAGGTCAGTGCTGATTCTGAATTTAAACTGTGTCATTTTGTTTTGAACTCAGGTGCCAGGATGTCCTACAGGAGTTTCTTAATGGTATTAAGAAGACACGGACAGGTGTTAATTATGAGGGAATGGCGAACATCCTAATCACTCACAGTCACTCCGATAGTATGTACATTACTATCAATCATATTTCATTTTTGATTCTTCCTCATATGAAAATCCAGGTATGCTTGAATCAATATGTTTATCTTTTTGTACATCTGTGTTCATTGTTGGTAAATTGACAGTTTGGTGCCACAGTCCTGACCATAGGTCATGGTGACCTATTGCCATCCATCTGTGTCTGTCGTCATGCGTCGTGCATTAACTTTTATCTTGTGAGCATAACTTGAGTAAAAGTGAATGGATTTCGATAAGTTTTACTGCTTTATATCAATGAGATCTCCAACAATTTTGAAAGTGGTCCTGATCAGACAGTAGCTGGCAGAGTTATGGGACTTTGAGATTTTAATTACTATTGGAGCCTATGGGACTGGAGCTTGTGAGCATGATAACTTTAGAAAAAGGGAATGGATTTTGATGAAGGGGCAACCAAGTTTGTTCAAATGTCACAGGAGTCAATTGTCTTAAAAAAATCTTCAGAAAACTTCTTCTGAATAACCAAGGACCTAGGGTTATGATATTTGGCAAGTTGCATGCTGGGATAAAGGGCTACCAAGTTTATTAAAATGAATGACTTTGACAAACATTCAAGGTCACAATGGTCAAATATGTTGAAAACCTTTAAACAACTTCTTCTCAATAACGAAAAGTCATAGAATAATGATATTTGGCCAGTAGCAATGCTGGGATAAAGGGCTACCGAGTTTGTTTAATTGAATAACCCTGACTTATATTCAAGGTCACAGGGGTCAAATATGTTTAAAACCTTTAAACAACTTCTTCTGAATAACCAAGAGGCCTACGATAATAATATTTGACCAGTAGCAATGCTGGGATAAAGGGCTACCAAGGCTGTTCAAATGAATGACCTTGACATAAATTCAAGGTCACAGGGTCCAAATATGTTTAAAACCTTTATACAACGTCTATGGATAACCAAGAGGCCTAGGATAATAATATTTGACCAGTAACATGCTGGGATGAAGGACTACCAAGTTTGTTCAAATGAATGACCTTTACTTATATTCAAGGCCACACTGGGGTCAAATACGTTTAAAACCTTTATACAACTTCTTCTGAATAACCAAGAGGCCTAGGATTATGATATTTGGTAAGTAGCATGCTGGGATAAAATGATTGACCTTGACAAATATCCAAGGTCACAATGGTCAAATTTGTTGAAAACTTTTAAACGACTTTTTCTCAATAAGCAAAAGGCCAAGGGTGATGATATTCGGCCATTAACATGCTGGTATGAAGGACTACAGTGGTCATTATATGTTTAAATCTTTAAATGACCTTTTCAAAAAGTCCAGGGTAATGATATTTTTTTCAGAAGCATGCTGGGTTGGAAGACTATAAACTCTGTTCAACCTAATGTTCTTGTTCGAAATTCAAGGTCACAGGCGTCATATGTTTAAATATTTTAATAGGTACTTATGAATCAAACACCGATATTCTGCCTGTAGCTGTATTTTAGTCCACTTTTAAGATTACATGCAGAGTTTAATACCAGGTGAGAGATTCAGGCCCATTAGGCCTCTTGTGTCAATGTGGCCTTGTACTTGCTTATAGTATAGTCATGTCAATTTGAAGATCACAGATATGACAGGTGTTTGTAAACAGCATTGAAAAGCTGTTGGGCTCAACAGGCCCACACCAATCAATATTTCTACCCCAAAGGTGATACATGTTGTTAGCATTGGATAACTAGAAGCATGGGTATATATCAATATTTATGATCAAATGAAACATTGTGACTTAAGGTAGCAGCTTAAAATGTATGAACTTTGAATGTCATGTCAATATAATATCATGATTGTATCAAGTAAGGGTTTTGCTTGTTACATCAGATTTCTATTTAAAGTTCATGAATTGGTAATGTTTATGTGTACATCACAAGACTGTCAGTCCTTCCAGGACTTTGTATATATGTTTGTCCTTGGTCCACTTTTATGGCTTTGGGTTTGAGATTAATACCAAGTGAGCAGTTAAGGCCAATTGGACCTCTTGTTCAGTATATTAATATTTACAATTGCTAGTGATATTTGTATTTATTTGACAGAGGCTCTGATTCAGTACACAGCTATCTGCTGGCTCCAGGAATTTGTGACCCAAGCTGGGAGGACCATGCTACAGTACACATCTGGGATCATAGATGCTATCCTGCCATGTCTAGCTACAGAGGGACACATCACTCGCTCGTATCCTTTAGCAGTCATATCACACTGTTATTTTATTGCAAATGTTTTAAAATACTTACATATTTGGCTCAACCAGCACAGTGTTCTGTGAGCTGATGAGCGGACAATTCTGTATGAACCATGAGAATACATATACATTGTATACTAAAAACAGAAATACAACTTCAAGGATTAATAAAATAATATTTTTGAGCAATATATCTAAATTTGAGATGTAATAGTTGAGATGAACTTTGAATATTCATCTTTTTGGGGGGATTTTAACAAAAGGGGCCTTCATTAAACCATAATGGCATAAAGTACCCCAAGTTACTCAACATTAACATGGCTGCTTTTGTGAAACCATTTCCTTATATTATGTGTGCCTTTATAGAAATCTTATTCCATTCCCTGACAAATGCATTGGCTACCATAGGAAGGGTATTGGGGGGACTGGGATATGCCGATTCCGAACTCTCCTGTCTAGCTCATCCCACAAGTGTTTGGTTGGGACTAAATCCAGGCTACATGAAGGCCAATCAATAGGGACAATGTTGTGAGAAAGTCCCTACAGACTCATGCAACGTGTGGCCTCGCATTCTCCAGCTGAAGAGTGATATGATGCATCCTAATAAAAGGTACAACACAGTGCCTAAGGACCTCTATTCTCTATCTCTTCTGGAAACACAGGGCCTAAGGATCTCTATTCTCTATCTCTACTGGAAACACAGGGCCTTAGGATCTCTATTCTCCATCTCTACTGGAAACACTGGGCCTAAGGATCTCTATTCTCTATCTCTAAGGAAACACCGGGCCTAAGGATCTCTATTTTCTATCTCTACTGGAAACACAGGGCCTAAGGATCTCTAATCTCTATCTCTATGGTAAACACAGGGCCTATTAGGATCCCTATTCTCTATCTCTACGGAAACACAGGGCATAAGGATCCCTATTCTCTATCTCTACGGAAACACAGGGCCTAAGGATCCCTATTCTCTATCTTTACGGAAACACAGGGCCTAAGGATCCTTATTCTCTACAGGAAACACAGGGCCTTAGGATCTCTATTCTCTATCTCTATGGTAAACACAGGGCCTAAGGATCCCTATTCTCAATCTCTACGGAAACACAGGGCCTAAGGATCCCTATTCTCTACAGGAAACACAGGGCCTTAGGATCTCTATTCTCTACGGGAAACACAGGGCCTAAGGATCTCTATTCTCTATCTCTACGGGAAAAACAGGGCCTAAGGATCTCTATTCTCTATCTCTACTGGAAACACAGGGCCTAAGGATCTCTATTTTCTATCTCTACGGGAAACACAGGGCCTAAGGATCTATATCTCTATGGGAAACACCGGGCCTAACGACCTTTATTCTCTATCTCTACAACCTAAGGATCTCTATTTTCTGTTTCTATGGGAAACACAGGGCTTAAGGATCCCTATTCTCTATCTCTACGGAAACACAGGGCCTAAGGATCTCTATTTCTATGGGAAACACAGGGCCTAAGGATCTTTATTCTCTATCTCTACAAAACACAGGGCCTAAGGATCTCTATTCTCTATCTCTACAGGTCAACTTTAAGTGCTAGTCAGGGGTCAAATGTCAAAATGTGTTAAAAGCTTTAACAATCTTCTTCTCAGGTTCCATAAGGATCAGGGTCATGATAATTTGCCAGTAAGTACCTAGGATGGAGTGCTATAAAGTTTCTTCATTAAAATTACCTTGACCTACTTTCAAGATCACAGGGGTCAAATATGTTAAAAATTTCAAACAAATATATTTCAAGAACCATTTGGACTAGAGTCATGATACTTGAGTATGTTATGTAGACCAGCAGTGCGAATATTTTTCTCTATAACAGTAATGAGGTCAAAGGTCAACTTGAAGTGCAAGTCGGGAGTCAAAGGTCAATGTGGGTTAAAAGCTCCAAAATTATAATTTGAAATTTCAATCAACAATATCTTCAGAACCGTTTAAGAGATGTTAAAATGTCTTGTGTTCTAGTTACCAAATTTGGTCTTAAGTAACCTGTATGTCAGTTTCATGTAACAAAAGAAACAGGTGAGCGATACAGGCCCTCTGGTCCTCTTGTATTACTGTTGCAATACGAAAGTTCAGTTTTTAGCTCACCTGGCAAGAAGGGTCAAATATGTGAAAAAGATACCTTTTAACAACTTATTTTGAATAACCAGGAGGCCCTGAGTAATGATATTTGGTCAGTAGATACCTGGGACAGAGTGCTATAAAGATTACTGAAATAAATGACCTTGACCTATTTTCAAGTTCACAAGCGTCAAATGTGTTAAAAGCATTTAAATAACTTCTTCTGAACACCCAAGAGGCCTAAAGCACTGATATTTGGCCCATAGGTACCTTAGTGCTATGACATTTTCTCAAACTGTTTTCACCGGAACCATATGCTCGCTTCTAGGTCATGTCATAGTTTCGTATTTCTCGGACATAAGCTCACGCTGTCGACAGCATTTAATTGGGTACTAGCTTAAAAGACAGAAGACAATTAGTTTCAGAAAAACAGTCTTTCCACTCACTTGTGTATTGTGGCCGACACAAATTGTGTACATGATCAGGGCCAACACAGTTCAGCGTGCGCTGTACGACTGCAAGCCATTGGCTTTGTCTAAGTTTTCAAGGCAAATATCGCAAGCTATAGACGACAGTAGATGCTTTAATTGGTGTAAGATCAATAGACTGTGAGGTCAAATAAATAATGGATGTTACATTGACATTGAGAAAACACGTCCTGATATGCGAGCTCCACGTTTGAACCTTACACAAAAGTTACAACTTAAAGTCTATGTTGGATCATTTTTAGCTCGCCTGGCCCCAAGGGCCTATGAGCTTATGCCCTACTGCGGCGTCGTCTGTCGTCCGTCCATCAACTTTTTCTTTTGAACGACTTCTTCTGAAGAACTGTAGGACCTAGGGTCATGATATTTGGCCAGTAGGTACCTGGGATGGTGTGCTATAAAGTTTCCAAATATGTTAAAAACTTCAAACAACAATATCTCCATTTGGTCCATTTGGACTAGAGTCATGATACTTGGGTATGTTATGTAGACCAGCAGTGCAAATCTTTTCTTCTATTACAGTAATGAGGTCAAAGGTCAACTTAAAGTGCTAGTCAGAGGTCAAATGTCAACATGGGTTCAAAGCTTTAACAATATTTTCCCTGGTTCCATAAGGCCCAGGGTCATGATATTTGGCCAGTAAGTACCTGGGATAGAGTGCTATAAAGTTTCCTCATTAAAATGACCTTGACCTAGTTTCCAGGTCACAGGGGTCAAATATGTAAAAAAAATCAAACAACAAAATCCTAAGAAGCATTTGGTATAGAGTCATGATACTTGGGTATGTAATGTAGACCAGCTGTGAATCATTTTCTTTATTACAGTAATGAGGTCAAATGTCAACTTTAAGTGCTAGCCGGAGTCAAAGGTCAACGTGGGTTAAAAGCTTTAAAATTAAAATGTTAAATTTCAAACAACAATATCTTAAGAAGCGATTAAGAGATGTTAAAATGTCTTGTGTTCTGGTAACCAAAATTCAAAACCGGGTTTTGAATTTTGGTTACCAGAACACAAGACCCTGCGTCGTCAAAGAAGGTGTTGCAATAGAAGGTGAAAATCGGTAAATTTTGGATGTTTTAGTGTAAACAAATTACATATTAAAACATTTAAGCTAAAACTTCATCTGGACCTTTGGGATATAAGTTTCTTTTTTGGAGAACTGAAATGTATATAAACTGTACTAGAGCCACGGAGGGTATTATTGACCCCCGGTTCTATTCATCTTGTTTTGGATCGATTATGAACCGTTGGTACACTTACCTTTTCAGAATCCCTCGGAACCGTTCCATTCAGACAACAAATTTACTGAACTTTTTTTTTCTCCAATTAGAAGAAACGATCCTATTTTTAGAACTTCCGTACGGGCACCGAAGGGACAAATGAGCTTATCCCATGGCGCTGCATCCGGCGTCCGGCAACTTTTTCCTTTTAAACGCTACTAGTCCTGAGCGGCTCAGAGGATTTTGACCAATTTGGGTCTGGAGCATCATTGGCCAAACGGTTCTCAGTTTTGTATAAATTGAGGGTATGGTCCCCCTGGGGGCAGAGAGGCGGGGCCAAATAGGGGGAAAAAAGGTAAATCTTTAAAAATCTTCTTCTTCTCAACCAATAGAAGGATTTTGACCAAATTTGTTCTAGAGCATCATTGGACAAAGGAACCTCAAGTTTGTATAAACGGAGGGTGTGGCCCCTCTGGGGGCATAGGGGCGGGGCCCAATAGGGGAAATAGAGGATTTTTTCTCTCCTACTATACAAGTGAAGGGATTTAAACCAAATGCAGTCTGAAACATGCTTAGGGACAAAAGAATCAATTTTGTATAAACTGAGGTGTGTGGACCCCCTTCTTTTGGGCAGATGAGTGGGGCCCATTAGGGGAAATAGAAGAAAACATTAAAGATCCTTCTCCTTCTGTACCGTTGAAGGAATTTTAACCAAACTTGTCCTAGAGAATCTTTGGGCAAAGGGAATTGAATATTTATAAATGGAAGATGTGCCCCCCGATTAACATTGTTCTGTTAGGCAGGATTAACTAATTATCTTGTGATCAGCGTATGTATGTATGTCAGTCTTAATATCATAACACTTATTTTAGTGTTATTTATACTCAGCTTCCTTCTGTTGTCCTTTCCCACCATGGTCCTACAATACATAACTACATTTGGAACGTTAAGTATAGCATGCATGTAAGTATCAAGTACTATGGTGTGTGGTATGATAAGCATTTGATACCTGTGTTGTACAATTTATTTATTACAAGAAAGAAATGAAATATTAATAAAAAGTTTCATTAAAAGGTAATTTGACCTGTACCTTGCTGGGGTTAAGCACCATCAATTTTTCAAATCACCCTTCATCCGTTGTTATCACTATTTCTCATGAAGAACAGGAGGGATCTTTCTCAAATTTGATATGAAGGTTCCCCTTGGTCTGTAGATGTGCATGTTTACTTTGGAGACTTATCCGATAAAAAAAAATGGCTGAAAGGCGGCCATCTTAGATTTTAGCAGTGAATGTTTATTATCGCTATTTCTCATGAAGAACAGGAGGGATCTTTCTCAAATATTGTGTGTAGGTTTCCCTTAGTCTGTAGTTGTGCATGTATACTTTTGAGACTGATCAGATAAACAAAACGACCGACAGGTGGCTATCTTGGATTTTGACAGTGAATGTTTGTTATCGCTATTTCTCATGAAGTACAGGAGGGATCTTTCTCAAATTTGATATGAAGGTTCCCCTTGGTCTGTAGTTGTGCATGTTGACACTGATCCGATAAACAAAATGGCTGACAGACGGCCATCTTGGATTTTGACAGTGAATGTTTGTAATCGCTATTTCACAGGAAGTTTTGGAGGGATCTTTCTCAAATTTGATAGGTAGGTTCCCCTTGGTCTATTGTTGTGCATGTATACTTTTGAGACTGATCAGATAAACAAAATGGCTGACAGACGGCCATCTTGGATTTTGACAGTGAATGTTTGTTATCGCTATTTCCCAGGAAGTTTTGGAGGGATCTTTCTCAAATTTGATAGGTAGGTTCCCATTGGTCTATAGTTGTGCATGATTACTTTGGAGAGTGATCATAAAAACAAGATGGCCACAGAAAGTACTAATGAGATCTTTGTGATATTGTAATGATTGGATCTATTTCTCTAACATTTAAAGAACTATACTAGTAAATACATGAAACAGTGCATTTACTGTTTACAATACTTGATCAAACAGATAAGAGAAAAGAAGAGAAAAGATCACACTGACATAAACCAATGAATACAATGATGGGCGCTAAAATCCCTCTGGGATCTCTTGTTTTAAATGATCCTGTACATTCCAGCTCACAGGTCACGTTAAAAACTTATGAAGCTGAGAGCCACACACTCACACACTCACACACACACACCCACACACACACACACACCCACACACACACCCACCCACACACATTAACACACACGATGACCTGTTGTTGCACCTTGACCCCTAAAGTGTAAGTGAGGCTGCTAAACACTTGAACCTTGCCCTACTCAACCTGATATGTGAGGAAGATGATATAACTACCCCTACGCTAGGGAGTCCTGTTGAAGGCACACCCACCAGTTCTGACCCGCAGGAGCAAAGTCCACAGGAAAGCCCCATATCAACATCAGGCAGGTCAGTAAAGTTCCTAGTTTACATTATATAACAATCTTATGCTCATATATTCCCAGGTAAAATAGAAAAAAATGTACCCCAGTGGCATTATACAAAGACAATCTGAACTAAAATAGGTTTTCATGTTAAAATACAAAACCAGAATCCAAACCTATTGTGTTAACACCAGGATAGTTTTGGGGTTCTGCCCTTAAATGTTAACACTGTGACATATTTTAGTTCAGATTGCCTTGTGTGTCAACATAAAAAGATGAAACCAAAACTCAAATAAACAATTAACATCAAGAACTGCAGGCAGCTAGATAAGACCTCGTTGCATGTGCTGTTTAGGATACCAGAGTCAATAGGGTAACCTATTGCAATCGCATTTTGTCTGTTGTCATGGGTTGTCAATAATCTGTCATGCACAAACAATCAAATTTTCTCCTCAGAAAATGTCTGTCAGATTTTTAGCTCACCTGGCCCGAAGGGCCATGTGAGCTTATCCCAAGCTGCAGCGTCCGGCGTCCGGCGTCCGGCGTCCGTCAACTTTTTCCTTTAAAATGCTACTTGTCCTGAATGGCTCAGAGGATTTTGACCAAATTTGGTCAGGAGCATCATTGGCCAAAGGGTTCTCAGTTTTGTATAAACGGAGGGTATAACCCCCCTGGGGGCAGAGGGGCGGGGCCAAATAGGGGGAAAATAGGTAAATCTTTAAAAATCTTCTTCTTCTCAACCAATAGAAGGATTTTGACCAAATTTGTCCTAGAGCATCTTTGGACAAAGGAGACTCAAGTTTGTATAAACGGAGGGTGTGGCCTCTTTGGGGGCAGAGGGGCGGGGCCAAATAGGGGAAGTAGAGGATTTTTTCTCTCCTACTATACAAGTGAAGGGATTTAAACCAAATGCAGTCTGAAGCTTGGTCAGGAGCATCATTGGCCAAAGGGTTCTCAGTTTTGTATAAACGGACGGTATAGCCCCCCCTCGGGGCAGAGGGGCGGGGCTAAATAAGGGGAAAAAAGGTAAATCTTTAAAAATGTTCTTCTTCTCAACCAATTGAAGGATTTTGACCAAATTTGTCCTAGAGCATCTTTGGACAAAGAAGACTCAAGTTTGTATAAACGGAGGGTGTGGCCCCTCTGGGGGCGGAGGGGCGGGGCCCAATAGGGGAAATAGAGGATTTTTTTTCTCCTGCTATACAAGTGAAGGGATTTTAACCAAATGCAGTCTGAAGCATGATTAGGGACAAAAGAATCAATTTTGTATAAACTGAGGTGTGTGGGCCTCCTTCTAAGGGCAGATGGGTGGGGCCCATTAGGGGAAATAGAGGAAAACATCAAATATCCTTCTCCTTTTGTACCGATGAAGGGATTTTGACCAAATTTGGTCTGGAGCATCATTGGCCAAAGGGTTCTCAGTTTTGTATGAACGGAGGGTATGGTCCCCCTGGGGGCAGAGGGACGGGGCCAAATAGGGGAAAATAGGTAAATCTTTAAAAATCTTCTCCTCAACCAATTGAAGGATTTTGACCAAATTTGTCCTAGAGCATCTTTGGACAAAGGAGACTCAAGTTTGTATAAACGGAGGGTGTGGGCCTTCTGGCGGCATAGGAGCGGGGCCCAATAGGGGAAATAGAGGATTTTTTTTCTCCTACTATACAAGTGAAGGGATTTAAACCAAATGCAGTCTGAAGCATGCTTAGGGAGAAAAGAATCAATTTTGTTTAAACTGAGGTGTGTGGATTCCCCTTCTTTGGGGCAGATTAGTGGGGCCCATTAGGGGAAATAGAGGAAAACATTAAAGATCCTTCTCCTTCTGTACCGTTGAAGGGATTTTAACCTAACCAAACTTGTTTTAGAGAATCTTTGGGCAAAGGGAATTGAATATTTATAAATGGAAGATGCAACTTTGTTACTTGTACTCCTTTGATAAACCTGAATGGTACTCAGCAGGTTTTAAATTGAAAAATAAAATACCAGGTGAGCTATTAAGGCCCTGGGCCTCTTGTTAAGAAACCTGATGGTAATCATCAGTCTGAGGTGGGGATCAGAATCTTTACTCAAGATGAGATTGTCTCCATCAGGGCCAAGGGGCTTTGGCATTAAGAGGTCACAAAGTGAAAAACCTTCAAAACACTTCTCATCTGACACTTACTTGTAGTTTTTCGAAAACCAGATTCAGGGTCTGACCCCCCCCCCCCCCCCCCCCCCCGGGGGGGGGGGGGGGGGGGGGGGGGGGGGTCGCTAATTGCGAAACCTGAAACATTCAAATTTTTTACTTCTTTTTCAGAAAAAACTACATTTCTGATAAACAATCACTTTCAGCCAAAAAAATACAAAAAAATACGTTAAATTAATATTTAAGAGATTATGATTAAATTTCTTCTCCAAAATAGCATTACTATTACAGGTGTCTTGAATAAATTCCCATATACATAGCATCTCATGACACAAGACACATGAATAAGGTGTCTGGCCTCCTGTTAAATGTTGACTTTGAGTCCTGATTGTTTGTTGTCTGGCCTCCTGTTAAATGTTGCCTTTGAGTCCTAATTGTTTGGTGTCTGGCCTACTGTTAAATGTTGACTTTGACTCCAGATTGTTTGGTGTCTGGACCTGTGTTAAATGTTGATGTTGAGACCTGATTGTTTGGTGTCTGGCCCTCTGTTAAATGTTGATGTTGGGTCCTGATTGTTTGGTGTCTGGCCCATGGCCTCCTGTTAAATGTTGACGTTGAGTCCTGATTGTTTGATGTCTAGCCTCCTGTTAAATGTTGATGTTGAGACCTGATTGTTTTGGTGTCTGTCCTCCTGTTAAATGTTGATGTTGGGTCCTGATTGTTTGGAGACGGGGCCTCTGTTAAATGTTGGCTTTGAGTCCTGATTGTTTGATGTCTAGCCTCCTGTTAAATGTTGATGTTAAGACCTGATTGTTTGGTGTCTGGGCCTCTGTTAAATGTTTATGTTGAGTCCTGATTGTTTTGGTGTCTGGCTTCCTGTTAAATGTTGATGTTGGGTCCTGATTGTTTGGTGTCTGGCCCATGGCCTCCTGTTAAATGTTGCCTTTGAGTCCTAATTGTTTGGTGTCTGGACCTGTGTTAAATGTTGATGTTGAGACCTGATTGTTTTGGTGTCTGGCTTCCTGTTAAATGTTGATGTTGGGTCCTGATTGTTTGGTGTCTGGTCTCCTGTTAAATGTTGACGTTGAGTCCTGATTGTTTGATGTCTAGCCTCCTGTTAAATGTTGATGTTGGGTCCTGATTGTTTGGTGTCTGGGCCTCTGTTAAATGTTGGCTTTGAGTCCTGATTGTTTTGGGGTCTGGCCTTCTGTTAAATGTTGATGTTTAGTACTGATTGTTTGGTGTCTGGTCTCCTGTTAAATGTTGACGTTGAGTCCTGATTGTTTGGAGTCTGGACCTCTGTTAAATGGTGATGTTGAGTCCTGATTGTTTGATGTCTAGCCTCCTGTTAAATGTTGACGTTGAGTCCTGATTGTTTGATGTCTAGCCTCCTGTTAAATGTTGACTTTTAGTCCTGATTGTTTGGTGTCTGGCCCATGGCCTCCTGTTAAATGTTGACTTTTAGTCCTGATTGTTTGGTGTCTGGCCCATGGCCTCCTGTTAAATGTTGACTTTGACTCCAGATTGTTTGGTGTCTGGACCTCTGTTAAATGTTGATGTTGAGTCCTGATAGTTTTTGTGTCTGGACCTCTGTTAAATGTTGATGTTGAGTACTGATTGTTTGGTGTCTGGCCTCCTGTTAAATGTTGACTTTGAGTCCTTATTGTTTGGTGTCTGGCCTTCTGTTAAATGTTGACGTTGAGTCCTGATTGTTTTGGTGTCTGGCCTCCTGTTAAATGTTGATGTTAAGACCTGATTGTTTGGTGTCTGGCCTCCTGTTAAATGTTGACTTTGAGTCCTGATTGTTTTGGTGTCTGGCCTCCTGTTAAATGTTGATGTTTAGACCTGATTGTTTGGGGTCTGGCCTCCTGGTAAATGTTGACTTTGAGTCCTGATTGTTTCGGTGTCTGGACCTCTGTTAAATGTTGATGTTGAGTACTGATTGTTTGGTGTCTGGCCTCCCGTTAAATGTTGACTTTGAGTCCTTATTGTTTGGGGTCTTGCCTTCTGTTAAATGTTGACGTTGAGTCCTGATTTTTTTGGTGTCTGGCCTCCTGTTAAATGTTGATGTTGAGACCTGATTGTTTTGGTGTCTGGACCTCTGTTAAATATTGACTTTGAGTCCTGATTGTTTGGGTGTCTGGCCTCCTGTTAAATGTTGATGTTGAGTCCTGATTGTTTGGTGTCTGGCCTCCTGTTAAATATTGACTTTGAGTCCTGATTGTTTGGGGGTCTGGCCTCCTGTTAAATGTTGATGTTGAGACCTGATAGTTTTGGAGTCTGGACCTCTGTTAAATATTGACTTTGGGTCCTGATTGTTTGGGTGTCTGGCCTCCTGTTAAATGTTGATGTGGAGACCTGATTGTTTTGGTGTCTGGACCTCAGTTAAATATTGACTTTGAGTCCTGATTGTTTGGGTGTCTGGCCTCCTGTTAAATGTTGATGTGGAGACCTGATTGTTTTGGTGTCTGGACCTCAGTTAAATATTGACTTTGAGTCCTGATTGTTTGGGTGTCTGGCCTCCTGTTAAATGTTGATGTGGAGACCTGATTGTTTTGGTGTCTGGACCTCAGTTAAATATTGACTTTGAGTCCTGATTGTTTGGGGGTCTGGCCTCCTGTTAAATGTTGATGTTGAGCCCTGATTGTTTTGGTGTCTGGACCTCTGTTAAATGTTGACTTTGAGTCCTGATTGTTTGGTGTCTGGCCTCCTGGTAAATGTTGACGTTGAGACCTGATTGTTTGGTGTCTGGCCTCCTGTTAAATGTTGATGTTGAGTCCTGATTGTTTGGGTCTGGAACTCTGTTAAATGTTGATGTTGAGTCATGATTGTTTTGGTGTCTGGCCTCCTGTTAAATGTTGACGTTGAGTCCTGATTGTTTGATGTCTGGCCTTCTGTTAAATGTTGACGTTGAGTCCTGATTGTTTGGGGTCTGGTCCTCTGTTAAATGTTGACGTTGAGTCCTGATTGTTTGGTGTCTGGCCTCCTGTTAAATATTGACTTTGAGTCCTGATTGTTTGGTGTCTGGCCTTCTGTTAAATGTTGATGTTGAGTCCTGATTGTTTGGGTCTGGACCTCTGTTAAATGTTGATGTTGAGTCATGATTGTTTTGGTGTCTGGCCTCCTGTTAAATGTTGACTTTGAGTCCTGATTGTTTTGGTGTCTGGCCTCATGTTAAATGTTGATGTTGAAACCTGACTGTTTGTTTTTTAATATACAGTCATCAAATATGTTTTATCTTGTATTGAAATCATATTTAAATATTTCACAAAGATGTAGTGATTGAAGCAGAGTAAAAAAATGTTTATACACATAGTATACTATGTTAGTCATTTACATTTTATTAGAAAAGTATTTTTGGCTTGTATCAGAAACGTTTTGTTGTCAGTTGGAACTTTGACTGGTAAAATCACTGACAACATTTTCTAATACCCTAATATTACATTTAACAATGAAACCTTTAGATATAACTCTTTTATTGGGTTTTTTTCAGTGCAATAAGACTAAATATAGCCAGCGTGATCTCCGTCCTATGTCGAATGTTACAACACCAGAGTTTAAGGACCAGAATTGCTGCTTTAGAATGGCTTTCACATCTCTTGCTCAAAGTGCCAAATAAGGTAATATTGAAAAACTAGCACACCAAAATAAGGTAATAATAGGGAAATAATACCAAAATAAGGTAATAATAGGGAACATTCACAACAAAATAAGGTAACAATAAGGAACAAACACACCAAAATAAGGTAATGATAAGGAACTAACACCAAAAAATGGTAATAATAAGGAACTAATACACCAAAATAAGGTAATAATAGGGAAATAACACACCAAAATAAGGTAATAATAGGGAAATAATACCAAAATAAGGTAATAATAGGGAACATTCATAACAAAATAAGGTAATAATAAGGAACTAACACACCAAATAAGGTAATAATAAGGAACTAATACACCAAAATAAGGTAATATTAGGGAAACACACACCAAAAAAAGGTAGTATTAAGGAACTAACACACCAAAATATGGTAATATTAATGGACTAACACCAAAATAAGGTAATGATAAGGAACTAACACACCAAAATAAGGTAATATTAGGGAAACACACACCAAAAAAAGGTAATATTAAGGAACTAACACACCAAAATATGGTAATATTAATGAACTAACACCAAAATAAGGTAATAATAGGGAACATTCACAACAAAATAAGGTAACAATAAGGAACTAACACACCAAAATAAGGTAATGATAAGGAACTAACACACCAAAATAAGGTAATATTAGGGAAACACACACCAAAAAAAGGTAATATTAAGGAACTAACACACCAAAATATGGTAATATTAATGAACTAACACCAAAATAAGGTAATAATAGGGAACATTCACAACAAAATAAGGTAACAATAAGGAACTAACACACCAAAATAAGGTAATGATAAGGAACTAACACACCAAAATAAGGTAATATTAGGGAAACACACACCAAAAAAAGGTAATATTAAGGAACTAACACACCAAAATATGGTAATATTAATGAACTAACACCAAAATAAGGTAATAATAGGGAACATTCACAACAAAATAAGGTAACAATAAGGAACTAACACACCAAAATAAGGTAATGATAAGGAACTAACACACCAAAATAAGGTAATATTAGGGAAACACACACCAAAAAAAGGTAATATTAAGGAACTAACACACCAAAATATGGTAATATTAATGAACTAACACCAAAATAAGGTAATAATAGGGAACATTCACAACAAAATAAGGTAACAATAAGGAACTAACACACCAAAATAAGGTAATGATAAGGAACTAACACACCAAAATAAGGTAATATTAGGGAAACACACACCAAAAAAAGGTAATATTAAGGAACTAACACACCAAAATATGGTAATATTAATGAACTAACACCAAAATAAGGTAATAATAGGGAACATTCACAACAAAATAAGGTAACAATAAGGAACTAACACACCAAAATAAGGTAATGATAAGGAACTAACACACCAAAATAAGGTAATATTAGGGAAACACACACCAAAAAAAGGTAATATTAAGGAACTAACACACCAAAATATGGTAATATTAATGAACTAACACCAAAATAAGGTAATAATAGGGAACATTCACAACAAAATAAGGTAACAATAAGGAACTAACACACCAAAATAAGGTAATAATAAGGAACTAACACACCAAAATAAGGTAATATTAGGGAAACACACACCAAAAAAAGGTAATATTAAGGAACTAACACACCAAAATATGGTAATATTAATGAACTAACACCAAAATAAGGTAATAATAGGGAACATTCACAACAAAATAAGGTAACAATAAGGAACTAACACACCAAAATAAGGTAACAATAAGGAACTAACACACCAAAATAAGGTAATATTAGGGAAACACACACCAAAAAAAGGTAATATTAAGGAACTAACACACCAAAATATGGTAATATTAATGAACTAACACCAAAATAAGGTAATAATAGGGAACATTCACAACAAAATAAGGTAACAATAAGGAACTAACACACCAAAATAAGGTAATGATAAGGAACTAACACACCAAAATAAGGTAATATTAGGGAAACACACACCAAAAAAAGGTAATATTAAGGAACTAACACACCAAATAAGGTAGTGATAAGGAACTAACACCAAATAAGGTAACGATAAGGAACTAACACCAAAATAAGATAATATTAGGGAACATTCAAAACAAAATAAAGTAATATTAGGGAACTAACACCAAAATAAGGTAATATTAGGGAACATTTACAACCAAATAAGGTAATAATAAGGAACATGCACACCAAATAATGTAATGATAAGGAAATAAGACACCAAAATAAGGTAATATTAGGGAACATACACACTCAAATAAGGTAATGATAAGGAACTAACACCAAAATAAGGTAATGATAAGGAAATAACACACCAAAATAAGGTAATATTGGGGAACATACACGCCCAAATAAGGTAATGATAAGGAACTAACACCAAAATAAGGTAATGATAAGGAACTAACACCAAAATAAGGTAATGATAGGAAATAACACACCAAAATAGGGTAACAATAAGGAAAAAACACCAAATAAGGTAATGATAGGAAATAACACACCAAAATGAGGAAATATTAGGGAAATAACAAACCAAAATAAGGTAATATTAGGGAACATACACACCAAATAAGGAAATAATATAGATTCATTTCAAACTTCATAGGAAGGTTCATTTCTATGAAAGCTCGCGATAACCAAAATTATTTGCCGGTTATTTATGGAGTTATGGCCCTTTGTGGCGAACTGCTCATTTGACATCTGACGGGCGTATCATGTACCGCTTTGAAGAACTCTTGTTGTAATTGTCAACAGTATTTGTTGCTCAACTACAGGGCAAACTCATTTGACATCTGACGGGCGTATCATGTACCGCTTTGCAGAACTCTTGTTGTAATTGTCAACAGTATTTGTTGCTCAACTACAGGACATTTTGCCTATCAAAAGAGAAAGTATACACGCTGTTCCAAAGTGTAAAATTTCTTAACATCGCTAGCTGTACAGGTAACAAAATGTCACTTTGTCATAGCTTGACCAATGGACCTTTGATATGTACATTGTTTGGATATAAAGAAAACTTTGATACGTAGCATTTGTAACTGTAATGAAAAGTAGTTTGTGTGTTTCATGGCTTTTTTGTCCTAAAACTTTAAGTTGTTTTTGTAAAAGTAAAACAATTGGACTGCATATATTCCTAAATTGATTACAGGCATTCCAACATGTGGACAGTTTTTTCCCAGTCCTGCTGATGACACTGTCCGACATCTCTACAGAAGTAAGTGTTACACTGTGTTGTCCGACATCTCCACAGAGGTAAGTGTTACACTGTGTTGTCCGACACCTCCACAGAGGTAAGTGTTACACTGTGTTGTCCGACACCTCCACAGAGGTAAGTGTTACACTGTGTTGTCCGACACCTCCACAGAGGTAAATGTTACACTGTGTTGTCAGACACCTCCACAGAGGTAAGTGTTATACTGTGTTGCAGACAGACGGTAAAGTATTAAGTTTTTAGCTCACCTGTTCTGCCTTTTAGCAATACCGTTAAAATTTGACTGGAAACATCCCTAGGTGCATCCTTGATATTCTAGAGAGTATGCTCGCTTATGCTCTCTGCACCCCTGGGTTATGTCAAAGCAGTATTGAAGGCTCACTTTGACCTACCTTGTGGATTAGACAAGAAGGCTTGTTTGATCCTTTGATGTACATCAAAAGAATCTTGCAGTCTCATAGCAAGACAATGGACTGGCTTTGAAGTGAGGTGTTGCTCCTCTATTATCTTAAAAGGACAGGTATCAGCATAACAATTGGTCAGGTACTTTTACCTGAGACCAATCAAATAGCTATCCCCTACCTGCCATCCCCGATTATACTGGAAGAGGGTGATGACCCTCTATTGAAAATAAAAAAGAGGGTTATAGCGCATGATGTCTTTTTTCGCAACAAATATAAGACAAGTACATATAAAATTAGAACTTTAATATTGTAATGATGCAAAAGGTACATTCTACATTCATTGAACTGTTCTTCCAGCAGATCTAGCTGATCCTCATCCTCAATACCTGGGAATCTCTCTGGATCTCTGTGAATAAAAAAAGATTTCAACAACCGAACTCATAAAATTAATTCATAATAATATATATGATAGTGTGTTTTTACAGGCATTTGTTTCTGTCAATATTTTATATGAGTAGAGTGTGACTTATTGTCAGGACCAGTTTATTGACAGAAACAAATGCCTGTGTAGGTTTTTGATATTGTCTAGAAACATTGTTTTTAGCACCAGATCCAACTAACATATGCAATTTACGAAGAGTGCAGAATGCATCGTTTGGTCTACGATCACCAGGTTTTATCCACTTAAATTCTTTTTCCCATGACATTTGATATGTGCACAATTATCTTTTCTTTTAAGCAGTTGGTGTAGTATTACCTGCAAGTCCCGATAACAACTTTTTCCTTCCAGAAGACATAACGTTACCTTCAAAATGCGATCTATACTACGTATACACAATTGTAAAAACATCTCAATTAAAAGTAGCTTAAGGGCTAAAATTTCGGGTGTAACCAGACGAAGCAAAAGTATGTGTAATCCCTGGAATATTGAGGATAACCTTGGTGGTGGCAATTGTATAAATGGCAGGGCTGACACTCCAATCCCCATCGCACCCCAAGGGAGCTTATTGGTGTGGTCAAAAAGTGGTAATTTGGCCATATTGATTTAAACAACGCCTCTAAAACTCGGAGATAGATATCAACCATTTTCAGCTCTACCCTAACTTTATGTACCCCTGGCAATGTTTTTGTTGTTCCTATGTTTAGAACAACAGTTTGCAGTAAACTAAAAGAAAAAAATGATAACAAGTTGGTCAGAAAAAAATGTTTTTTTAGCTCATCTGGTCCGAAGGACCATGGTGATCGAGCTTATGCCATACCGCAGCGTCCGTCGTCCGTCCACCTGTCAACTTTTCCTTTAAAACGCTACTTGCCCTGAACGGACAAGCAGATTTTGACTAAATTTGGTCTGGAGCATCCTTAGGCCAAGGGGACTCAATTTTGTATAAAAGGGGGGTGTGGCCCCCCTTGGGGCAGAGGGCCAGGGACAAATAGGGGAAATAGAGGTAAAACCTTTAAAATCCTTCTCCTTCTGTAGGAATGAAAAGATTTGGTCCATATTTGGTGTGAAGCATTCTTCGGTGAAGGGGAACCAATTTGTATAAACGGTGGATCTGGCCCCCTTGGGGGCTGAGGGGCAGGGCCCAATATGTGAAATATAGCAAATTCTTAAAAATCCTTCTTCTTCTGATTGAATGACAGGATTTATTGCATATTTAGTCTGAAGCATCCTTTGGTGAAGGGTAACCAATTTTGTATAAACCATTGGTCTAAGCCCTAAGGGGCCTGAGGGGCGGGGCCCAATAGGGGAAACATAGCAAATTATTCTTTAAAATCCTTCCTCTTCTGTAGGAATGAAAAGATTTGGTCCATATTTGGTGTGAAGCATTCTTCGGTGAAGGGGAACCAATTTGTATAAACGGTGGGTGTGGCCCTCCCTGGGCCCTATAGGGGAAATAGAGGTAAAACCTTTAAAATCCTTCTATCCTTATTTAGTCTGGAGCATCCTTTGGCCAAGGGGACTCAATTTTGTATAAACGGTGGGTATGACCCCCCTAGGGGCATAGGGGTTGGGCTCTGTTTGAAATTTGTTATATCTCAAGTACTGGAAGGATCTTTCTGGAATTTCATATGTACTTACAGCACCGACCATGGAGTGCTATATCTTTACTTCATACCAGTTATTTTAAACATTCAGGTGAGCGATACAGGCCCTCTGGTTTTTTAAATCCTTCTTCTTCTGTAGGAATGAAAGGATTTGTTTCATATATTGTCAGAAGCATCCTTAGGGGAAGGGAACCAATTTTGTATAAACGGTGGGTCTGGCCCCCCTGGGGGCTGAGGGGCGGGGCCCAATAGGGGAAATATATCAAATTCTTTAAAATCCCTCTTCTTCTGTAGGAATGAAAGGACTTGTTCCATATTTGGTCTGAAGCATCCTTGGGTGAAGGGGAACCAATTTTGTATAAACCGTGGGCCTGGCTCGCCAGGGGTCTGAGGGGCGGGGCCCAATAGGGGAAACATAGCTAATTGTTCTCTAAAATCCTTCTTCTTCTGTAGGAATGAAAGGACTTGGTCCATATTTGGTGTGGAGCATCCTTGGGTAAAGTGGAACCAATTTTGTATAAACGGTTGGTCTGGCCCTCCTGGGGGCTTAGGGGTGGGACCCAATAGGGGAAATATAGCAATTTCTTCAATATCCTTTTTCTTCTGTAGGATTGAAAGGATTTGTTGCATATTTGGTCTGAAGTATCCTTGGGTGAAGAGGAACCAATTTTATATAAACCATTGGTCTTGCCTCCCAGGGCCCTGAGGGGAGGGGCCCAATAGGGGAAACATAGCAAATTATTCTTAATTTTTTTCTTCTTCTGTAGGAATGAAAGGATTTGGTGTGGAGCATCCTTGGGTAAAGGGGAACCAATTTTGTATAAACGGTCTGTCGAAACCCCCCCCCCCCTGGAGGCAGAGAGGGGGGCCCCAATAGGGGAAATAGAGGTAAAACCTTTAAAATCCTTCTTCTACCATAGGGATTAAGGGATTTTATTCTAATTTAGTCTGGAGCATCCTTGGGCAAAGGGGACTCAATTTTGTATAAGTAGTGGGTGTGGTTACCCAGGGGGAAGAAGGGTGGGGCCCAATAGGATAAATAGAGGTAAAACCTTTAAAATCTTCTTCGACCATCGAGATTAAGGGATTTTATCCTTATTTAATCTGGAGCAACCTGGGGTCAAGGGGTCTCAATTTTGTATAAACGGTGGGTATGACCCCCCTAGGGGCATAGGGGTGGGGCTCTGTTTAAAGTTTGTTCTCGCTATATTTCAAGTACTGGATGGATCTTTCTGAAATTTCATATGTAATTACAGCACCTACCATGGAGTGCTATACCTTTACTTCATACCAATTACTTTAAACATATTCAGGTGAGGGATACAGGCCCTCTGGGCCTCTTGTTCATTTTACCATGGGGCTGTTCATATAACCTTACTACACTGGACTGTTTAGTTGGCCGGATTGCAACACAATCAGGGCCTACAGATTGGCTATTCCCGTCCGTCCGTCTGTCCGCCTGTTTGCACTAAGGTTAAGAAGAATGGTTAAGCTCATTTTCCAAGTTATTTATTATCCCACATCAACTAAACTGGCATGGCTTATGTATCTAAGGATGCTCATCGCATGCAATGCTTCGGATGCTGCTTCTGACCTACATTTTCCGCTTGACTGACCAGGTTAAGAAGAGTGGGTGAGGTGAGGCCCGGGCATCTGCACTATGGATAAGAAGATTGGTTTAGGTCAAGTAACTACTTATCCTACAACAACTAAACTTGCATGACTAATGTATCTTAAAGGATGCTTATCACATGTGATGGTTGATATATTTTAGTAGAATATATAGTTGTACCTTTGATAATGAAGAATAACCATCAATGCTTTTTAATATAAAAGGAGTGAAGCTTTTTTCAAAGAGAAATATCTTGTTATGTTCCCTGACAATAAACAAACTAGCCACTTTAATTTCCTAGAGTGATAATTTGTCTTGTTTGCTGACAATAAACAAACTGTACGTATTACTTAAGGAACTAAAAAATATCTTACCAAGTGAGTTAACAGTTCATTTTGTTTACTAAAGAGAAATCTCATTAGGCATTTGTTGCTATCATCACACAGATTGTCTTCAAAACATAAGTAAGTATATTGATATCTAATATGTCTTGTTTTGTCTTTTTTTACCGACAGGTTGTGCTTTTAGATTTAGAGACTCTTGCTGAAATTTCCTCTAACCCTGCAGGAAAAGTCATTCCCATAGAGTCAACAGATCAAAATCAGGGATCAAAAGTCAAGAATAAAGAAGGGCAGGCAACTTCTTCTAAATATCCAGGCAAAGTGAAAACCAAGGAGGAGAAGCCTAATGAATATAAATCTGGACTAAATATTTATTTCACCAAATTCATGAAAGCTTTGTTGGATCTATTCAAGAAAGACCAAAATTTGCTAGAGCCCGAGGAGAGGGGATATTTTATTATCAGGTCAGTTTTCTTGTCAAGGTCTAAATGAAATGTATTTATAACATTTTGTGAAACTCTGAGTGTTGTCAACTGTCATATAAATCAGAATGGTAAATATTTTAGGTCACTACTATAAAATTATACATCATACAAATGTCACAACCGTTCAATACTACGTATGACAGGCAGATGTCACACGTGTTCAATGTGTATTATAACAGGCAACTGTCACACCTGTTAAATGTGTATTATAACAGGCAACTGTCACACCTGTTAAATGTTTAATATAACAGACAACTGTCACACCTGTTAAATATTTAATATAACAGGCATCTATATCACAACTGTTAAAAGAATAATTTGATTTGTAATGATAAATTATAGTTTATATATAACTGTGTAAGCCTTCCATTGCCTTGCAATTGGCTGCTGTAGTTGTAGATGTGATAGTTTTGTTGTTATATATATATGTTTGCAATATTAAGTGTTATAGGATATAAGGCTTTTTCCCTTATGTTCATTTTTGTAATTCCTTCTTTGACCTGGTTATGGAATGTGTTCTTCTTCCAAGAGCGATAGTGTTTACCTATGCAAATTAGATGTCTTACCATATAAGGTATCGTAGTATATGTTAATCAGTCCATAGTAACTTTTGACCAATCAGCGATTACGTCTTAGAGGGGTGTTGGTATTGCCAGCTTCAGTTTCATTTTCCTCGTAGTGCTGGCAGATTACACTTTTGTTTTGGCTTATTCCTCGACTTTTCAAGTGTTTACTACACTATGGATTTATCTTAAACTACACCACGATTACTCATTGACAGTCATCGCCGTATGATTTAACTTTCGCCAGTTTGTTACGTTGTAAACGTGGATCAGTATGAGGAGAAACGTTTGTTTACTTTCTGCGTGATTTTTGGACTTGAGGTGTGGCTACGCTACTCTACACACTGGGAGCAAGGCAGCCTACTGGTCGTATACTGTTGTACGAATAATACCACCTTACAACTTCATGCTTAAGGACTTCACGCACTTCCTATACAGTATTATAGCGAGCGAAATACTTTGACGTGATTCGTCATTACGGTGTGAACTTGACATTGTACGTACATTCGACCGTGCCAACCTACACCTTAGGCTATATATAACGTTAATATTTAGGCCTATCGACATAGTTTTAAGACATGGGGTCTAAAAGTAGGAATTCTAGAGTTGTTCCGTACGATCCGGATAGCTCGTTTCCGAGAGGAATTGACAAGATTGATGGTACCGTTCAGTGCCAACGAGAAACGAACGGGTTTGATAAATAATTGAGAGACTCGAGGACAAGAGGTGGGCGATCCCACAATTCCGTGCGACAAGATGACGACCAGGTTACTTCGAATCGTGAGGATGGTTCGCATACGCAAACGTTGGTCGACATCGTCACTAGTTTGGCAGAGAGTGTGTTAACACTACAGGAAAGTTATGTCAGACTGATAAGGCGATTAAGTGATTCCGTCGCCACAACAGTGAGTTCCGTGACAATTCTTCCCGGCGTCAAGTTTCTCCTGCAGCAGCGGCCGGCAGCGAACATCAACTCGGGACGGAATCGAGGATCCTTAATCAACCTCAACCAGAATACACCTTAGAGACCGCATACATGATTTGAGAAACATACGCATCACCAGCATGCACTTTCAAATTTTCCAGGTGAATTCCGTCCTACAGGCTCCTTGAACAGCAAAAAATGTCGACACTGTCACAACAACAACACGTGTGTATCTTCACTGGCTGACATCGGAGGTGTCCCGAATGCGACGCATTCGGTTTAAATCGCTTCTCTTCAGCACAGTAGAGTCAAGCTTCTTCTCTAGGTCTATTTGATTACAAGTCGCTTCTCTTCATTACAGTAGAGACAAGCTTCTTCTCTTGGTCTATTCGATTTCAAGTCTTAGAGTCAAGTCGCTTCTCTCCAGCACAGTAGAGTCAAGCCTATTTTCTAGGTCTACTCGATTTCAAGTCTTAGAGTCAAGTTGCTTCTCTGCAGCACAGTGGAGTCAAGCTTCTTCTCTAGGTCTATTCGATTTCAAGTCTTAGAGTCAAGTCGCTTCTCTGCAGCACAGTAGAGTCAAGCCTATT